AAACAGCAGAAGTGGATCAAAGTACGATGAGATCATAGATTGTGGGGATGAGTCACTCTGCGCAGCGACTCAAGGGCAGAGATATTTGGTAGGTGGATGACATGTCTGTGTGGACCACAGCTGGCACCTTTTCTCTGGGCAGCTTGATAGGCACCCACATGTAAGAGAAATGGCAAAGGGAAAAAATGAAGTCTAATTTTATTCATTTTGTGCTTTGTATAGATTTACAGAAATTTCATTTATTTATTTTTTAGAGGGCAAGGGAAAGACACAGAGAAGGAGAGACACACTGATGTGAGAGAAATATCAGTTGGTTGCCTCGTGCACACCTAAAGCAGGGGCCTGGCCCACAACCCAGGCAATGCCCTGACTGGGAATCGAACCGTCGACCTTTGGTTTTGCAGGACGATGCCCAACTAACTTAGCCACGCTGGTCAGGGCTGTATAGACTTATAAAGGATGAGTGGCCTACCCAATCATTTTAGAACTTGAAAAACATTTTTTTCTATGCTATTTCAACAGGGCTTTAAATATCAGAGCACAACTTCTTTCTCAAGGCAGGAAATTAGGAATCAACTGTGCCAATATACAAAATAACACATATATGTGTGAAAACACATTTAGGGCATTTTTAAGAAGTACTTAATGAATTTAAGAATGGGGCTGTTATCACACGTTAATCACGTACCGGTTTTATTCAGAGAGTGCAACTTGAGAGCTTTGCCAGTACTGGAAATGTGAAAAAAGAAAATGCATGCAGCCGTGCAAAAGCACCCCTTGAATAGCAGGGAATGGAGGAAATAACTGAGAAAGGGAGAGAATACAAGTCTCTACTCAGTATGCAGAGACTCTAGAGATGTTATAAATGGACCAAAATGAGTCTATTTCTTGGCTAGTGATGACTATAAAGTTCAAGTCACTTGGCAAGAAATTCAAGAAATATGGGAGAAATAGTGAGGACAGAAGCAGAATAGAGAAAGAAAACACACAGAAAGCTAGAAAAGTGCAACTACAGTAAAAGTAACAGACGGCAAAGTCATAGGAGCCATGGGGACTTAAGGAGCATACAATGTGTGAGAATGTTGGCTCTAAGACACAAGAAAACCAGAGTAGCTCTCAGCAAGGGGGAGCAATCAGACGCCCTCACTCTTTTACAAGGTCATCATTATGCTACTTTGAAGGCACACCTTGGCTTTGTTGAAGAGGGAGCATCGAGAGCAGTGATTTTCAACCTTTTTCATCTCATGGCACACATAAACTAATGACTAAAATTCTGCAGCACACCAAAAAATATCTTTTTTGCCTATCTAAAAAAATAGGTAAAACTGATTCATTCACACTGACGACTACTGTCTTGTTGGCTGTTATCATTTTTTACTTTGACAGTCCAAGGGAAAAGAGGCCAGTACCCCTCACTAAATAGGTATGTATTGCCTTTGAAAAAATTCTTGTGGCACACCAATGTGCCGCAGCACACGGGTTGGAAATCGCTGATCTAGAGGAAGGGCAAACAGGCTCAATTTACTTTACTAATACACAGATGGTGTCTTGCTGAAGGCACACAAAAGAAATCACATGTAGCTCTGCAGCCTTAAGAAGGGGCAGGAAGTGAGGTGTGGTGACAGATGCCTGGGACTCCCTGTTAGAGTACCGGTAAACTAACTCAGCGGCCTGAGTGACCAGATGGTGGTGCATTCAAAAGAAGCCAGACCACTGTTCACTCTTCCAGAGAAAATAACTAGTTCGGGTACATTATTAATCAATAAAACAACTGACTTTTGCAAGGAAATGCTGGTAGCTGAGCTCTGTACCTTTTGAAAAGTGTCTTTGGTATTTCAAAGCCAGACTTGGCATGGAAAGCATAGTTATGCCTGGTAAACAATATCAGCAAATTCTAAAACTGCAAAACAAGTTGGTGGCCTTTTTATAGAACTCAGTTCTGAGCAAAGTCTGCCCCTGGACCATTTTAGCAAGGTGATGTAACTAAGTTGTTTTAGCCAGGCAGCCTCTCCTCTGCCTCTAGCAGGTGCCTGTGAATTAGTGTGCTAGAGCTTTGGGAGAGTGAGGACAGACTCGCTGGTCTCGTTCTCATGCTGCAGGCTCCCCACATTCAATTTTAATGATTGGAAAATGTCATTTCCTGAAATATTTCAAGTGTCACATGAGTTCCTACTCATTTATGCATTTATAGACAAAGATTCTTTTCCCACTGATTTTATCAGCTTCTGGTATCCTTAGTTAAAGATTACTCTGCGAGAATAGCAAAACAAAATTATTTTATTACTAAACTGTCATAGAGCTTGCCTCCAAAGGAGTAGGTTAGTGTCTCCCCTTCCGTTTTATTTCCTATTCAACAACCCCCAAATACACACACACATATAATGTGTATGAGGATATTTGCAGCTACTTTGTAATTTTTTAGAAAGTCCTATAAATGACTTAAATAGAAATAGAATTTATTATCCCACAGAATGAGAAATCTCAAGGATTGGCTGTATCAGAGTTTCAATGATATCATGAAGGGTGCAGGTAACTTCCACCTTTCTGCTTAACCATCCTTTTACGTTCTCTTCAGCTAACAACTCTCATGGTCCTAAGAAGGCAGTCACAGTACCAGACACCACACACACAGTGACATCTAGCAGCAGGTGAGGGACTGTTTCTTCTTGTGTGTTTCTCTCTCTCTCATTGTGGGTAGTTATTTTATTTTGGAAAGTGATACATTTCAACAGAAAATGAATTTCTTTCTTTAAGGGTAAGAAAAACCTTTCCCAGAAGTATCTCAGTAGACTTCTGTTGCATTTCGTTAGCTAGATTTGCATCACGCACATGTGCCTGAACCAATTACTGACAAGGAGATTAAGACAATGCTGATTAGCCAGGTTTGCCAGTCTTGGCACTACTGGCATTTTGGGAGGAATAATTCTTTGCTTCGGGGACTTCAATGTACTCGTAGGATATTGAGCAGCATCCCTGGCCTCTCTTTACTATATGCCGATGGCCTCTCTTTACTATATGCCGATAGCACTTACACCCAAGGGGACATTCAGAAATGAATGGGGCCTATCTTTTTCTGAAGCACAGAGAGTGTGCTGGAGATCAGGATTCTGTTAACAAGAAAAAGGAAACACACAGCCAGTGGGCAGTAATCTTCCCTGCTTCATTTTCTTTCTTGACATTTTCAACAGACCACAGGACCTTATTAAAAATAAGAAATATGTAAGAATGAATTACTTGGTATTACTCAGCAAAATCTAGTTCCTGTCTAAGTGCCAAATGGGCAATGTTAGTATCGTTATAATCAATTGGTGATGTAGAAAATTTAATCAAGAGTAATTTGCATTGAAGCACCAAAATCATGACTGGTTGTGTTCTTCAGAGTTCAGATGTTCCTACTTTTGGACATATTCTTGCAGCAGTACATCAGATTTTTCCTTTATTTATGTCCTATTTTTAGTGTATAAGACATTCTACTCTTGTGACTCTTATTAGTCATCTACTGGTGATGAACACTTGCATCCTGGATTAAATCATTTGAGATTTAATCTCAAATGATTTAATGAGAAAAAGTATGAATATTTTTATTAATTCAATAAAAATTTATTGGTTGCCAATTATGTGAAAGAAGGTGACAAGGCTGAAATACTACATTGGAGACTTAGAGAAAGCTCTCTGAGGAGGTAACGTTTCAGCTAAGACAATGGACTGAAGCAGGGGACAGGTCTGATTGTAATGGGTTATAGTAGAGTTCTGATTTTATCATAAGTGCAGGAATAAGAGTTGATGGGGTTGGGGATGCTGTGTGACGAGCTGCTTCCCTTTGTCTGTTGTATTTTTTGTATTTGGAATGCAGTAAGATTCTCAGCTGGATTTAATTCCTCCTGGGCTACAATTAGTGGTGTATGCCAACCTGCATTCTTCTTTTGTAATTTTTTTCCTTCTGTTTCTTAAGGTAACATTGCTGTCTTGGCTTCCAGTCTCTTAAGCGCAGCTCTTAACCCTCCTGGTCCTCTAAGAAGTTCCAACCTCTAGCTTTAGACCTAGTGTTTCCACATCGAGTGGCTTCAGGCTACAGGGTCTTTGGTCTTACCTGGATCATCACATTTGATCTAACTCCACTGACTGTGGGGAGAACATCTCCTGGGGAAAACCCCACTAGAAAAACTCTTCTTCTAGGAGCAGACCACCTTAATCTTGGCCCTCTTCCAGCTCCTTTTGAGTCCTGTGGCCTCATGGTGCCACACCAACCCCACCAGGTGCTCCCTCCAGAGGTCTTGTCACAGGGCCTGTGACCTGATGCACACTGCCCTGGTCCTACGGGCTTTATTTCTCAGAAAGCATACCCAGTGTATGAATGAACAGAATCAAGGGAAGGACTTGCCTAAAGTGGTATCCTGGTCTCTTAGTCCTATTTTCTCTCTCCTAGACCAGTGCTATTCTAAGTGTGGCCTGCTGACCAGCTGCAGAGCTAGTCTATTGTCAATCTCAAAGTTTATGTATGTGCTGCTAGGTATATCTGCCATGGTTTGCACAGAAAAGAGTGACAGTTAGAGGGACTCTCCCAATTCCCTCATTTTACAAATAAGAATTCTGAAGCCCAGCCTTCCAAGCATGGTAGCAGAATCAGAATTGGAACCCAAGTCAACTAGGGTATATAATAGTAATCTAACAGCATTTATAGCTCCAGGTCTACCCATGAGTATTAAACTTGTTAAGTTTATTGAATGAATACTGGTGTTACTGGCATTCCGTTTCGCCTCAGGGTTTGATTGCTTTCCCTACAGATCGTGCTGGAGTTTCATTGTTCGCCACCATTTGAGGGCCCACAGATGCTTCTCTCAGTTCTCCCTCTAAGTTCCTCACTCTTCGTTCTCAGAGGCCGAAGTACACAAAATGCCCGGCAGGGGGCGGTGCAACCCCCGATCCCGCGGCCCCTCCCTTGGCCAACCGTCGATTGGGCCGGCGCGTGACGTCACGCCGTTTTAGCCAAACAAATGGGACTCGGGGCGAGCGTTGGGCTTCGCCGCGCCGCCGTGGGCGCTCGGTCCGCCACAGCAGTAGGGAACGAGCCAGGCCTCCTGCCGCCGCAAGCCGCTGCTGCATCGCGGTGTGCAGCCCCGGGCCAGGCCCGGGCCGGGACAGGAGCGCAGGTGGGTCGGAGCCGGGTGGCGTCGCGCTAGGGCAGCGCGGTCGACGCTCGGCGGCGGCCACCGTGGCCATTCCCCGCCCCCCTCTCGCCGCTCTCCTGAGCTCCCGGGACGCGGGGCGGGTGGGGGCGGGGGCACCGCCCGCGAGTCCGGAGCGCGAGGCGCTGCGGGCGCGTTTGGGGCAGAGAGCCAGCGGCCGGCAACTCCTCCCGGGCGGGCCTCAGCCCTCACACGGGCCGGGCACTGCGCGCCCCCGTGTGCCACAGAGGGTCTGGCGGACCGGCGGGCGGGAGAGGGGTCCCCGGTCCGGGCTGAAGCCTAGCAGATTACGGATAGGCCGTGGTGAGACGCGAACCGGCTCTCCCACCTCTCGGTCCCACGGCCAGTGAGGAAGTCGGGCCCTGGGTGGGGGTCGCCTCGCACGGTCGCGCCCGCTTGGGCTCGGCCACCCAGTTCTTCCTGTCCTGGCGCAGGTGAGCTGGAGCCTGTCCTTAACCTTTCTCGGGACCGGGCAGGACGGAGGCTTGGAAGCTTCTTTAGCCTCCCGGCTGGCGCAAGGTGACAGTGGGTCGGCCCCAGTTGGTGATGAAGTCAGAGTGCTCTGAATCCGCGTGTCTGTGACGTCAGGTGTTCCAGGAGATGGGCTGTGATGTCACTGCAGGCCCTGCCCGGGACCATGGTGCGGAAGGGTAGGTTGGTTCTGGAGGGAAGAGAAAGGAAGTTCAGTCTGGAATCGTTGCGGTTTTGAATTGAAAGTTGTTCGATACCTGCCTGCAATTTACAATTTTAATGTAATGGTCGTCAAATTCTTTAACTTCAAACAGGCATTGTTAGTGCATTTTAATGTAAGACGCATTTGATTTAGAAACAGCTACATCTAGAAACAGCTACATCAGGAGGGTTTTTTGGGGGGAGGCGGGGGGGGAGGGCTTAATGTAAATGTCTTTCAAGAAGCTAAACTCACAGTTCGATGGTTTGTGATTGGAATTGTGGAAAAAAAATATACCCAATTTGAGTGCTGGTAATTCAGTTCCCTTACTTATTTTTTTTGCCAGATAGTTTGGAGATCATCTATCTGCTAGTTCATAATTTGGTGGAGAATGGCCTGGAAGGGGGAGAGCAGATCTTGAGTGAACTTTCTCTATTGTAAGAGGCATGATGTTTGAATTAATTCAGTTCTTAAGTAATAATTACTTGAGGATTTAACTTATCCAGATTGTCTCTGCCCCATGCTACCCTGGATAATTGAGGGGTTCCTTGGGTTATAGCTCAGCAACAAGCCTTTTTCATGCTCACTTACTAAGGATGGGCTCTGCAATATAATAACATCTTTTGGCTGCTTGTTTGGACATGTAACTAAAATTTTTGTCTGTGGTGCTTTCAAATATGAAACTACAGAATTAAAAAAAAAGGTTTCTTGGTTTTCTTCCAAACCTTTCAAGAGCTCAGACAGGAAGAGAAGCTAGTCATTTGCCTTTCCAGGTCCAGCTTATCAATACTTCCATCCATTTCTTCCTCTGTAGAATCATTTATTGGAATCTAGTTTGAAAGGTAGATGGCTTAAAATCGAAGGGTAATTACAGTTTTGTGTTTTCAGCAGGAAGCTTGGATAGGAGTCTTCAATCCTTCACTGACCTTTGACTTTTAAGGTAGGTTTTTTGTTGTTGTGGTTAATACTCCGCCCTCCCCAGTTGTTTTTTATAGATAATTGATAATGTATCATCTCCCTGGATTTTGCATTAACCTGCAGGTGAAAGTTATGCTGTGCTTTTTAATGCAGGAAATGAAAGCAAAAATTTACCCTCATTAATTACTGTTAGATTTGACTGGAAGTTCACAAAAACAAAGCTTTCCTATAAATCCCATTTTAATCCTCACCATACCTTGGAAATTCAACAGCATTGTGTGTACTCCTGAGAGTTATTAATTTTTTTTTTAAATTGGGAACTGTATGGTGACAATGTTGAGTGAAGATTCTGGAGACAATATTTGAGCCTTCGGGTCCTCAAGGCTGATAGGTACTGCTGCTGTTGAGGGTGTTACCTACTTTTTAAGATGAAAGAGTCGTGACAAGATATGTAATGACATTGAAGGAGGTACAAAAAGACCCTTGTGTGTGTGTCTTTTCTAGGTGGCCTTTCTGGGTCTACGTGTCTCTGTGTAAATTAAGTGTTCCTCGTGTAAATAGGAAGGGATGAAAGTGAAGCTAAATGTGAGTTGAAAGATAAAATAGCTCCTCCTTGGCAGTGCATTTCAAAGAGAAGGGAAAAAATACAAAGTAGGAGAAACTTTCATTTTTCCTCATGGAAAATGAGTTAATAGGTGGAGAATAAATGTCTTTGTGTATTTTGATGTGGCTGAGGGAACAATAGCAGCTATAAAAAAGCCAGGTTATGCATATAGTTGCATAACAAGCCATAACTCTTCTGAAACATTTTTACAGTTTGTTACTACTTTCCCCAGGATATTTTTCAGCTTTGCTGTTTTGGGCCTAGGAAGCATCTCTTACTTCTTATAAGTGGAAATTATTTGAGATCAGGTTTATTATTATTTTAAAATATTTTGTCATTTTATCCAGTTATAGCATATGAAGGGACTAAATCAGCCAGTTAGTGATACAGCATTTTTTTCTGACAGATAAAAACAAATATGAAGAGTGAAAGCACCAAATTGTGGAGATTCTTTAGGGTGCGTTTATTGGATCAATTATTCTCTGAAGATACATTGAATTGAAATTCTTTTGCAGACTTTCTACTTTAGTTTCTAAACTTAAAGTTTATACTGAGTCAGTTTACCATGTTTCTGATGTTCTAGCATTTGTTCCATATTAACACATATTCACAACAAATAATAACTTGTTTTCATATTTGTTGGGGCGAGAACATACTAATCGTTAGAGACATCATTTGGTGTTATCTTCCAAAGTTTGCAGCTGTTTAGAACCAGATACTTGAGGGAAGCCGCTATGGTATAATGAATGCCTTCCTTGTTAGGTCATGTGTGACAAGGGCAAAATTCAGCAAGTGCATAATCTGTGGTCTTTTGGAAACAACAGCAAAAAAAGACCAGATTAACTCCAACTACGTTGTTTAGGTCATTTGGAAATTGAATTCCTATCAATCCTTATCTTTGCATAATTTCTCTTCTTTCCTTAAGTTCATGCTTATGGTATTTTGAAGCTGATGAATTTACTGTGTTATCAGGGAAAGTATTCATGGTTAAAGTGTAGGTGTTTCTCAATGATAGTTGAGGGAGTTTATCAGCCTGTTGTTTCCAACTCCACCTTCTGTTTAGCTCCACAAAAGAAGCTTCAGATCTTTGTAAATATTGACCTTCAGAATTCTAGCATATATTTACTCTCCTCAGTACAGTGTAGGTATAAATGTGAAACTAAGCTGTGTATGTGTATTGTCAGGTATGGGGTTCATTAATCCAACAAACATTTCTTGAGTAATGCTAAATACCCGGCATTACTCTATGCCAGGTATTTAGCCAGGCACTCAGATGAATTGCCCTTACTATAAGGACTCTTTGTTTTAACATTGCTTTGCTGTGTAGGGCCATGGGTCTAAGGGTCCAGAATTGGACCAAGAGGATAAACCATTTGTATTATGTGAGATTGGCCAGAGATCTTGTCTAAAGGTCGGTTTAAGGAAGTATTAGAAACTCAGGTAAAAAGATTGGGGAACAGATTATTAGAGGGTCTAAAATTCACAGATTTGGATAGTCTTAGAATGAATGGAGTGAGTTTAAGAGAATAAGCTCTTTCTCTGAGGCAAGAATAAGCACTTAAGGCCAGAACTAGTCTGTATATGCAATCTAAAATTGGAGGTAGCTAAAAAAATAAAAAATAAAAAATAATTTGAGATAGAAGAGGGAAAGTCTAGACATCACACTCTCAGAGGCATGTATATACCTTCTTCTGTGTTAGTCCTTTGACAAACTCCTGAAATACATGAGCCTTTCACAGCCTTCATTTCCATTATTTGCTTTCTTTCCTTATTATTTTATAATGAAAATTTTCAATCACAGAAAAGTTGCAAGAATTGTTTGTACATTGAATATCTAAATATCCACAACCTGGACTCTGCAATTCATATGTTTATATATGTACATATATATGTATATATATTTTTTCATGAGGACATGCTTAATTGATTTTAGAGAGGGAGACAAACATCAGTTGATAGCCTCTGGTGTGCTCTCTGATGGGGCACCTAACCTGGAAACTAGGCATGTGCCCTGACCAGGAATCAAACCTGCAACCATTCAGTTTATGGGACAGTGCTCCAGCCAACTGAGCCAAACTGGCCAGGGTTCTGTAATTCATATTTTATAGCATTTGCTTATTTATCTGTCCATCCTGTCTTCCCTTACTACTTCTATCCATTCATTAATTTGTCTCATATTTTTGTTGTGTTTCAAAGTAAATATGCATTATCCCTAAACTCTTCAGTGTACCTATCATGAATTTTTTTTAGGCAAAATTTATATGCAGGAGAACTACAGATCTTATGTGTATTCATATGTACAGCTGTGTAACCCATAATCTTGTCACACTATAGAATTGTTACTGTCACTATAGAAAGTTCCTTCATGACTGTCCTAATCAATTTAATTAACTTTTTAATTTCCTGCAATCTTACTTCCAGTACTGCCTGTTCTTTCTGAAACTACCTGTTTAAAGGGCCTGCCTTGTTAGCAGCACATTTGAATGGCATTATGCTAGGGGTACAGAACATAAGAAAATCAAAAATATAGTCCCTGCTCTTTTTAAGCGTATAAATTAGTTTGGGTTTTAATTAGGTGTCAAAGAAGGATAAATGTTACATGGATTCAGAGGATGCAACTGATTATTGCCAGAGAAAGCTTCCTAGGTGTGGGTTTTGAATTGGGCCTTTATTTTAGGATCCAGATTCTTTTTTTTTCTTTCTTTTTTTTTTTTTAATAGACTTCAATGAGAAGTTATGGTATAAAGGAATAGATCCAGACAGGGTGGTTGGGACCCAATTTTGGAAGGAATATGAGCATTATTTAGTACCCAATAACAATTTTTGAGGAAAAGAATAATGTGAAAAACAGATCTTTTAGTTAAATTCTTATCCTGTTTGTCATTTTTGGTATTTAGTTGTATAGGAGAGCTCTTCATCTTTTCTTTTAAAAAAATATTTTATTTTCAGAGAGAGGAGAAGAGAGGGAGAGAGAGGTAGAGAAACATCGATGTGAGAGAGAAACATCAGTTGGCTGCTTCCAACCAGGGACCTGCTCTGAAAGCCAGGCTTGTGCCCTGACTGCGAATCAAACCAGTGACCTTTTGATTCACAGGCCCATGCTCAGTCTGTTGAGCCACACCAGCCAGGTCAAGACCTCGTCATCTTCTGACCTCTCTTCTCTTGGTTCTTTGCTTGCCTTTGATTTCTTAGCTTTGTTGGTAACTTTTTTCTAGATCCAACTATCTGATGTTCTGTTCTTGACTTTTTGTGGTACTCCTTGTAATCTGGCCTTACCTCTTAGGGCTTGTTAATTATAGTAGTTTCCAGGTCATGCCTACATCTGAAAGCATAAGTTGTTAACAGTTATGTTTCTAACTGCTAATGAAATGCTTCTTTTTGTATATCCCTATTTACTTTGTACTTAACTCACTGTTCAGGGATTTGTAGCAAGAGCATTTGCTCTAAGTAGTTGTAGCAAATGGGACTTATTGGGAAAGAAAGATATGTAAACTTTAAGTGGACTGAATAGACCGTTTAGACTGAGCTTCTTGGAACCAATGCTAGAACGACATTGCAGACAGAACTTGCGTGCTGCTACCATGGGCCGGGTTGTTGAATCAGAACACTGCTTCTGCCATACTTGGCAGCAGTTTAACTTGCTTGGACAGAGCCATTATATGGCTGTGCCCTCCATATCCTTTCTACCCTCCATATCCTTTTTTTTTTTAAGATAAATTTAGTACATGTGATTGGCAGATAGATGTTGCTGATGCTGTGCGTATCTTTTGCAGGTATGCCTGCCTGGCCACATTTAGATCATATGTAAAACCTCACCTTCTGGTTTTCCATCCTCTATAAAACAAGAAGTTTTGTGAGAATAGATTGGAGTGAGTACTGAGTGTTCAGTACACTCAGTTTTTGAAAAACGAATTTTCCCTATATCCCCTCAATGTGGCAAAGTTACACCTTTTCTAGTTTTGCTATTTCTATACAAAGACAGGGATATAGTTATAGTTTCCTGAGATAGATACTATGGAAATCAACTGTATCATTTAAATTTTTTATGCTGAGTATAAGGAAAAACCCAACTCAGATTTACTGACAATACTAAAAAATCCAGAGGTGAAGCTTGAGCTACTTGTATTTATGTGATCAGAACCTCATCCTCCTCTTTCTTTTTCTTAATGAATTTTGCTTCTAAGGTGTTGGTCCCTTTGTGGTTACAGCATGTTTGTCCACACCTCAAGTCCCATGTCCTCATGCCATCGAGTCCAGAGGAGAGGGGAAGGAGAGTGCTTCTGCAGAAGCTATATAGGGCAGGGCTCTTGACTATTTTGCTCAAGAGACCCCTTTCCGAGTAATATTTTTTTAACAAAACACATAGGACTAAAAACTAGTTATACTGAAATACAGTTGGCTTCCAGTCAAGACAGTGG